GTTCGACCCTGACCTTCTTGTGGTGTCATGGCCTTCTTCGGTGTGGATTCCTGACTGGCAAACTGAGCCGGAGGAGGGCGAGGACTTTGAAGCCAAGACGGCCGAGCTCTGGCGCCACCGTCGCTTGTTGGCTTGGGTGCAACAACTTGTTCATGAGCACCGGGGGCGTGGTGGCGCCGTGCTGGGCGAAAATCCCTTTCATTCCAGGTCCTGGCACGAACCTTTGGTGGTGGATACCTGGGCTGGCCTTGCCAGCGGGAAGGTCGAGATGTGTGCCTATGGCCTCCAACGTCCTGCTGGAGAATGGGGTCGCAAAGAGCCGCTTTTCCTGAGGATGCCTCTTCGAGTTGTCGCGCAGCGGGAGATCGTTAAGAAAGTGGCCCGTCTATGTCCTGGTGGCCACCGTCATGCTCCTTGCCTTGGGGGCGTTTGTGCCCGAGGAGTCTGGAAACGGCTTGGGGATTTTCCTGGCTGCCACCCGGAGGCCTTTGCAAGGGCTGTTGTGTCGGGAGCCCAGGCCTTCTTGGAAAAGTGCGGCCGCCGCCGCCGAGGTGAAGTTTTCATTGTGAGCCCCACCTTTGCGGAGGAGCACCTTATGGAGGACGACCAAGAACTTCTTCATGATCCCCCACAGGTGCCAGCTTCCACCGAGGAGGTGCCGAGCCCTTCTGCGTTTTATGACCCCGAGACCGACGAGATCCCGGACCCTCCTGCAGAAAAGGAGGAAGATGTGGTGGAAGAGCTGGCCGGACCTCCTTCGAAGCTGGCCAAGGAAGGGAAGCTTGAAAGGATTGACATTGTTCACCGGCGACTTGGGCACCCTCCAAACGAAACCCTGGTCAGGATGCTGCAGCTGGGCGGGGCCACCGAGGAGGTGATCGAGATGGCAAGGCACTTTGATTGTCCTGTGTGCCGCCTGGGCAGCCAACCGCGGAGGCCTTTTGCGGCCAAGGCGGACACTCGTGCCGTGAGCTTCGGGACCGCGGTCCATTTGGATCTCAAATTCCAACAGGATATCAAGGGCGAGACCTACGTATGCCTCTCCATGATAGACGAAGCGTCGACTTATCACTCGGCGCGCCTCCTCCGCAACCGCACGCCTGAACATGTGGCAAGAAAGTTCGTGAATGCTTGGATCGGTCTTTATGGTATGCCACAACGGGTGACCCTTGATCAGGGCGGCGAGTTTGAGACGGCATTTGTTGCTGTATTGGAGGCCCACTCCATACACTCCCGTGTGGCCGGAAGCCACTCTCCGTGGCAGAATGGTTTTGCAGAGCGCCACGGAGCTCTCCTTGGAACCGCGTGGGCTGCGATCATTGCAGAGCATCAGTGCTGTGGGCGAGTGGAAATGAAGACCTCCCTCTCTTGTGCGATCCAGGCCAAGAATGCGGTGGTTTCCCGATCGGGGCATTCAGCTCACCTTCTGGCCTTTGGCCGCCAGGCTTGTTTCCCGGACCTCCTGGATGATGATGTTTGGTCCTCGGCCAGCCTGGGGCATGCTCTTTCCATTGACTCGGAGGTTGCCCGTATGTCGGAAATGAGATCGGCTGCCAAGGTTGCCTTGCTAAGGGGCGACATTCGGGATAAGATCAAGCGAGCCCTTCGACGAGCACCAGCTGGGGAACGTAGAGCTTTTGCGCCAGGTGAGCTGGTCTACTTTTGGTCCCCCAAGGTCAATAAGGGCAGGTACCGCCGTGATGTTGGCTGCTGGCGTGGCCCTGGTGTGGTCATTCTTCCTGAAGGACAAGAGCGCTACTTTGTGTCGTGGAGGGGACGGTGTTTGCTTCTTTCCACGGCCAACTTGAAGGGAGCAGGCTACGACACGCCAGCGGACCAGGACCTGCGAAGAAAGGAGGTGGAAGCTGAGCTCGAGAAGGGCTTTGTTGACCTGACCGAGGAGCCGGCCCCACCGGAGGAGGAGGAAGCGACCTATGTTCCACAAGTTGCTGGCCCTCGCCCTCGCCGAGCTCCCAATGGGATGGGCCGTCGCATGACCGAGGCCCGTCGCATGATGCAGGGTCTGAAGTCAGTCAAGAAAACCTTGGGCCTTCCGTTTGAAAAGAACCGACGGAGACGCCTCCTTGGAGCACGGGTTCGCGGAAGGCAGCCGGCACAGCACCCTGCTGAACAGCCACTTCAAGAAGACACAGAACTTCAAGAACAACCTCCACCTGAAGGGTCCGTAGCTGAACAGGCTTCTGCGGAACAGCCACTTCAAGAAGACGCGGAACTTCAAGAACAACCTCCACCTGGTAGTCCCAACAGTTTGTTGCCGGATAGCCTTCAGGACTTGTGGGATCAAGCGCCTTTACCTCAACCCCTGGAGCGCCACGAAGGCTATGATCCTCTTGATGATGTTCCGTATGGTCTGAAGCGTAAGCTTGCTGAGGCTGAAGAGGACGGGCCACAGGAAGTTTCCACCAAGCGCCTGCGCTCCAATGACATGGCCAACTTCATCATGGTCGCCCTTGTGGAGCCGGAGCTGCAGCAAGAACCGGAAGCACTGGCGAATGAATGGCTTCCTCGAGGGCAGGTGCGAAAGCTGGCCGAACTGCTGGACATGCCTTTGACGGCTGCTAGGTTCCACCGTGCGCCCCGGAAAAGACTGCAGAACCCTGGGCCACGTTGGCGTCGCCACCGTGTGACGGTGATGGTTGGCGAGGACCCCAAGCAAGTGATGATCGCCGAGGAGAACCCAGACGAGGTTGCAAAACGTCCTCGCCACAAGTGCCCGCACCTTTGGCGGGGAGCCACCTTCTTTTACGACCCCAACCGGGCACACCTGAGAAAGGGCGAGCTCAAGGAGCATCGCCGTCGACTTCGAAAGGCAGGGCAAGGTGAAAGGATTTATGTTGCCTCGGCCAACCAGGTGTTCCAGGTGACGGTGCCAAACGAGGAGGTGATGCAAGCTGCTTTTGGGGACATTGCCGCGGGCGTCCTGAAGACCGAGGCCTTTATCCTCAAGATGAAGGCGAACGGCAAGGAGCTGGACCCAAAGTTCTTTGATGGATCTGAGCGGGCCGCCTTTGACAAGTCGGACCAGAAAGAGTGGCAAGCTTGGCTGGACAACAACGTCATCCAGCAGCTCACCCCGTCTGAGGCCAGCAAGGTTCCACGAGCCCGGATCTTCAAGGTGCCAGCCAGAGTGGTACGAACCAACAAGGCCACCGCGGGATCCAAAGAGCTACTGGCCAAGTCCCGCATCGTACTGCCGGGCCACATGGATCCTGATGTGCTCGGCGGCGACCTTCGAACAGACAGCCCGACCACAACGATGACGGCAGTGAGGATGGCCATGACCATAGCTCTCCAAAGGCAGTGGCGGTGCTTGTTGTTTGACGTCTCGACGGCCTTCCTCTCCGGCAAGAGTGTGGATCGGCACTTGTTTTGCCGCCCACCTTCGGACTTGCGCTGTGTGGATGCTTCTGTCCTGTGGCGAATCCTGAAAAGTGCCTACGGCTTGGCAGAGGCTCCTCGGCTGTGGTACCTTCAAGCTCGTGACCTTCTTGTTGCCTGTGGCTTTGTGGAGGTGCCGTTTGCCCCAGCTACTTTCGTGAAGATTAAGGAGAGAAAGGGGGTGATGGTTACAGTTGCCATCCTCTGCCTGCACGTGGACGATGGCTTCCTGGCTGTGGAGGATGGTGCGGAGACCCACGCCACCAAGAAGGCCATTGACGAGCGCTTCTCCATCAAGGAATGGATCGAGATCGGAGAAAAACCTGCCGCCTACCTGGGGATGAAGATTTTCTTCGAGGGTGGCCTCCTGGTGAACGACATGACGGACTATGTCTTCGACCTGAAGGAGGCAATCCAGAAGGGCAGGGGAACTGAAGCACTCGACGCCGGTGGCTTGAAGGAGTTCAGGCGCCTGATTGCTCAGCTGCGCTGGCCCATTCACCTCGTGGTTCCAGAGATGCTTTGCCAAGTGAGTTTCCTAGCCCAGCGGGTCAGCCGAGCAACCTGGAGTGACCTCGGCGAGGCCAACAAGCTGCTGAGGTCTTTGAAGGCCCTGGCTAGTGAAGGGAAGGCGAGGCTGAAGATCCGCCGCCTCTCTGGCAGCCCAGAACTGGTGACCTTCTTCGACGCTTCCTTGGGCAGTGACGGCAGCTTGGCAGCTCAGCGAGGAGAGGCTCACTTCCTAGTGGAGCCGGGCGTTTTGGACACCAGTGGCTTGGGCAACTTGCTCGAGTTCCACAGCAACAAGATCAGCCGTGTGGTCCGGAGCTCCATGGCCGCGGAGTGCTGCTCTATGTCTTCGAGCTCGGATCGCCTGATCTACAATCTAAAACTGTGGGAGGCTCTCTACCACGGAGCCGTGACTATTTCTTCAAGCTGGCGCCAAGAGATCCGTTCAAGAGGACATTTAGTGACGGACGCTCGAAGCTTGTTTGATCATATACACGGCTCGAATCTGCTTGCCACTGAGCGCCAGACTTCCCTTGACATTTTAGGGATACGCCAAATGATTCAGGAAAAGCTAGCCTCCTTGCACTGGGTGCCAACATGGCGGCAATACGGCGACTGTCTGACCAAGCCTATGGAAGACCTTTTGTACAGTCGCTTCAAGAAGGATGGCAGGCTGAATGTGAAGCAATCAGCCGAAGATGCAGTTGAAGAGGAGCGAAGAGCCCTCCTTAGGAAGGCTCAGCGGGAGCGCCGGAAGATCAAACTCAGGCAGATCGCTGGAAAGTCAACACTTTTTAGTTCCGATGTGAAGATCAGACCATGAGGGCATGTGCATTGACTTTCTGCGGCGAGTGTCGTGTGTGCACAGAAGCCTCGACAAGCCTGTGGAACCCGGCCCCGCTCGACTCTCGAAGCAACGTTGCTAGCCTTGCGCGAAAGAATGCCTGCCGTGCTTTGCTTGCTGCTGTGGTTTCTTGGGGTTGGTTATCCGATCCATAGGGTTATGGTACTTATAAGTCCTTAGAATAAGCAGTTACTAAGTCCCCCGACCCTCCAAGTAGCCCCTAAACCGCATGTGACTCGTCTTTCAGGCTGCTCCACCTGCTCGTCAAACCTCAGAGGAGCGCCAGGGGCCCAATGTCTCATAGGAGGCCAAAAGGGGTTTGAGCCTATGGGGGTTTAGTAGGGATCAGGGTTCACATAGCAGAGTTCATATTACCCTAAGGGTCCATGTACCCATATAGAGATACATGAGCCCAAAGTACCTTTATAGGGACTACATTAAGGCCAATGTGTATACTATATGAGTACATGGACCCTAAAAGAATCCCTACCCCAAGAATCTTAACCCCCCTTTTTTTGGCCTCCCATCAATGTCTGCCTCAAGAGAGCTCGGCCGGGCTTACATAGGGTTTAGGGTTTAGGATGAGGGTTTAGGGTTCTTGGATTTTCTTCCTAGAAAAATTACAAGGGGTTTAGGGTTTAGGATGTAGGGTTTAGGGTTCTTGGATTTTCTTCCTAGAATAATTACATAGGGTTTAGGATGTAGGGTTTAGGGTTCTTGGGTTTTCTTCCTAGCAAAACTACATAGGGTTTAGGATGTAGGGTTTAGGGTTCTTGGGTTTTCTTCCTAGAAAAAATACATAGGGTTTAGGATGTAGGGCTTAGGGCTCTTGGATTTTCTTCCTAGAAAAATTACATAGGGTTTAGGACTCTTGGATTTTCTTCTTAGAAAAAGTTACATAGGGTTTAGGGTTTAGGATGTAGGGTTTAGGGGTCTTGGCTTTTCTTGCTCCTAGGGAAAGGGCTCGGTTCTGTTATGATCTCCTTTTAATTAGGGTTTCGGGGTGTTTTGTGGGGTTGCGGCGGATTTCGGGCTAATTCATAAAGGGTTTAGGGTTTAGCGTTTAGAGTTTAGGGTTTAGAAGAAGGTTTTCGGTCGTCGACTCGGGCTTTGAAGAGGGGTTCCCCTTCATGTACGCTGATGAGGGCTGTGTAGCTTTGGACATTTAGAAGGGTGTTTGGAGTCTTAGCGTTTGAAGTGCATGGTTATCGAACGCTTGGGTTGAGGCAAGGCTTGAAGGGATGTTGGGCTTCGTTTGACTTCATTTGCGTGCTTTCCGGTCTGTAGTAACCTGAAAACTCACCGAGCTACATGCTCGAAGACCGACGCGAGGCGACCAAGGAATCCCAGTAAGAGCCGCTTCGTGTTAAACAAACACCTACTGAATCGTTTTTTGTCACTCGCATACAACATCGGCCACCGTGCCCTACCTATAGTCTCCATTGTAGTTCCTTTTTTTGAGTTACCCAAAAACCCCATTATAGGATTCTAACCATAAAACTGGTTAACCAAAAAAGGAACTACAATGGAGACTGTAGGTAGATGAAACTGCGGCTGAGCAACCACCAAGCACGTGTAGTATCCTCTAGCAGCCCTTATTTTGAACCAACTGTAAACCCTAACCCTATATTTGTGATAGCCCTCACCCGAAACCCTCATCCCTCAACCCTAAACCCTAAAACCTAAACCTAAACCCCTTATTTAAAGGAGCCCTAAAGCTCTCCGAGGCCTTGTAGTATCCTTGTAGAGCGCTTATAGTAGCCCTTATAGACCCTTAAAGGCACGGAGCCCGAACGTGCTCTAAGGCCTAAACCCTGAACCCCTAAACCCCTTCTCTAAAGGACCCCTAAAGTGCTCCAAGGCCGGGCAATGATTGCATCTTGGAATGCTGAGAAGGAGAGCGGCGTGGTAGCCTGAGGCCGGTGCCCCGTGGAGTTTAGGATTTAGGGTCTGGGCATTGGGAGTCCCAAGCCCTAAACCCTAAAACCCTAAACCCTGATATAGGGTCTGGGCATTGGGAGTCCTAAACCCAAAACCCTAAAACCCTAAACCCTGATTTAGGGTTTGGGCATTGGGAGTTTAGGGTTCTGGATTCCAGGGTCTTAGGGTTTGGGTTTAGGGGTCTAGGATTCTGCGGTTTAGGGTTTTAGGGTTTTAGGGTTTAGGTTTGAGTTTTCAGGTTTTAGGGTTCAGGATTCCAGGGTTTGGAAAGTTTAGGGTTTAGGGTTTTGGGATTCAGGGTTTTAGGGATTTAGGGTTTTCAGTGATTTTAGTGTGTAGGATTGTTTAGGATAGGGTTTAGGATTCTAGGGTTTAGAGGTTGTAGGGTTGATGGTAGTGAAGCTTCAGCGCCTAGACCTAGTCCTCGCCAAAAAACCACAGCGGTTTATCCGCCAACCTCTATGTTGCCTCAAGGCGTAGCACAGAACGAAACACTTGCAAACCCTAAACCCTAAACCCTAATCTCTAAACCCTAATCCCTAATCCCTAATCCCTAAAACCCTAAACCCTAAACCCTAAAACCCTAAACCGGCATGGTATGCCACTTGTCCCCAAAACCCTGAACCTCAAGCTCCAAACCCTGATCCCAAACTGTACACCCGAAACTCTTATGGTATCCTTGTAGATACCCTGATCTTTTGCACTCTTTATGTAGTTAGTAAAGGCTTTGCAACGCCAAGCCGAAAACTCTGTAAAATCCGATCGAGCCGTAACTATAAGGTCCAGTTAGGGGTTTAGGGCTTAAAGCTTGAGGTTTAGTTAGGGTTTCAGGGTTTAGAGCTTAAGGTTTAGTCAGGGGTTTAGGATTGTAGGGCTTGGGCTTTACTACGGTTGATGATATAAATCCTGCATGACCCATAATAAGGAATATGCCATAATTCCCATAGTTTAGGATCCTTAAGGTAGAAATCATCAACCGTAGGACCCAGAGTCGGCCCTTATTCACTTTTCTGGGGCTTCTAGGTTCTCTTTTAAGCCCCTTGAACCCAAAAAGAGCAACCGTTTTATTCCTCGGTTTCTCTTGGGATGTTTAGGGATTTCCGGATTAAGGTTCGGGGCTTAGGGTTCAATTCCGGCTTAGAGCGTTGGGCCTGTGTAACTGTGTAGGGTTTATCGACACCATAATTCTTGAACACCACTATCACCTAAGGGACCTGAGTCGTGACGAACCGCTTGGGTCCCGTTTGGCCTTGCATGGCCTCTGGTTCACCTCAGTTCGTTGACCAAAACAAGGTGGACTATGGAATGAAATTTGCTGGCTAAGCTGCAGTTCATGCATCCATCCATTCGTCCATCCGTCCGTCCATCCATCCATCTGTCTGTCTATCTACAGCTATCTATCTGCGCCTGCTCTATCTATATAGCTATCTGTTTATCTACCCATCTATCTTTCTGTCTGTCTAGCTGTCTATCCAGCTGCTTGTCTGTCTATCTATCTGTCTAGACTATCTATCTACCTATCTATGAATCAATTGAGCCATCCCTCCATCCACCTATCTATCTATCTACCTATCTATTTTGCCATCCATCTGTCTATCTGTCACACTTCCTACCTCTCCACCAAAATGTATTGCCATATACATAACATGTCTGCACGTATACACATACATATGTTTACATGCATAGAAATGCATCTATGTGTATATGTCTGTTCACACATAGAGATTCAGGTTATGAAGAAGAACAGCTTCTTGGTTGTATCGAGGGCTTTGGAGAGCTGGTGATGATTGCCAGTCTGCAGCCGTGGGACCTCGCTTGGCTAGCACAGGAACTAAGGTTTAGAGATTTAGGGGCTCTGTGCTAGCTCTCAACCCTAAACCCTAAACCCTAAACCCTAAACCCTAAACCCACACCTCTACTAATCGCAAGCTCTCAACCCTCGACCCCATGACCTCGAGCAAAAAATCGGCTGTTGCTACATAGGGGTAGTTGAGTTGTACAGAGCTCAGAACCCAAAAGCACAGCGGAGCTATGGCCGTGACGAGCCTGCAGCCAAGCCTCTGGCAGCGAAGAAGAGGGTAACTTGGCTTCGGCTGTTTAGGGGTTTAGGGGTTTGGGGGTGTAGGGGTCTATATAGGGTATACAAAAGAAATCACACAGTTAGCAATCTTATCCCTTGAGATTCTGTCTTATAACTGTCCTATCATGTACCCCAGAACCCTCTTCTATTGAGGCCCCGGGTTCAGGGTGACACGTGCTTTACGTCGGATCCCAGAGCCTCAGGTTCTCAAGCCCTGCACGGTTTCAGGTTTGGGGGGTTTAGGGAGTTTAAAGGGTTTAGGGGGTTTGGGGGATTTAGGGTGTTTAGAGGGTTTAGGGTGTTTAGGGGGTTTAGTGGGCTTAGGGTTTGGGCTGTGAGTTCCGAAGTTGGTGTTAGGATCAGGCCAGTCACCTTACTACTATAGTGCCGCTGCAACGATGAAGTTCACGTCGGCGGTGGAAGCTGTGGGGTCGTGACGACGATGACGCCTCCAAATACTAATGAAAGCTACTTCGAGCATCCTATGTTTTCTCGACTTCCTTTGCTGTTGCTGCTCGTCCTGCTATCAATTTATACAGCTGCTAGCTGCTTGCCTCGGCAAACATGTGAGAGCTTGGCCGCACAGGTTTGCAGCTCACAGCGGATTCCGGGAAAATGCAAAGTCAAGCCTGCGCACACAGCGTCGGTTTGGTGTAGTGAGGGGTAGTGAGTGCAACCCTCAACGAGGAGCCCCATGGCCTTCAATCCCACCTTAAACTACCATGACAATAATACTTTGTAGGTTCTTAGTGTAAACCCGAATATCGAGTATATAGGGGCCCTGCAAATTAGTTCCAGGTAGACCTTTCAAATGCCAGAAGACGGCGCTGCAAAGCTGAGGTCAGCTCAGCCGGCAAACCTAGCCTTGCAGTGCCTTGCCTCGTACATTCAAAGGGTAAAAGGAGGGACCCCTAAAAAGGACCTCTAGGTATATACCCATAATATGACCATTATATACCCATTATATAGCCCATTATAGGGTAGGGGTCCCCATTAAGGGTCCCTCCTTTTCCCCTTTGATACATGGGATCTTCGGCCTCGCGGGTTGTACGTGTCTGGCTCTTCGTACTATGTGACAATGTTCACTGACGCGATGGTTCAGTAATTATTGGTGATATGGCATTTGCTTCATATTCCTACACAGTTTTAGGTGTTCATGTTCATCCTCATGCGCTTCTGTCGTTTTCCCTGACTTAGATGATTACTTATGCTCCGCTGTCATGATTGTTGTCAGTCTCAGTCAGCGTCGTGTTGCAGCATCTTCCAAATCAGTCCCATCTGAGCACGAAAAGTCGCTGTAAGCCGTGCCCTAAACCCTAAACCCCTACACCCTAAACCCTAAAGCACCCACCTGACCTAAACCGGACCATTGCCGAGCCCCGAAGTTCAACTGTGTGGCAGCGGCAACGGACGGTTGGTCATGAAGTGTTTCAACTTCAACGACCCAAAGGGTCCTAGCTACTGCTATGGGGGATACTTCCCCAAATCATAATCGTAATTCCTAATTAACCCCAAGGGGTCCATGTACCCATATAGAGATACATGAGCCCCAAGTACCTATATAGGGACCACATTAAGGCTAATGTATATTCTATATGAGTACATGGACCCGTAGGGTACTATCAAAATCCTACATTCTACTTTTCTAGGTACTTTGGACCCTCGGGGCGATGGGTGCTTCAGGCACGTCACGTTTCGGAAGCCTACAACCCCAAACCTCAAAATGCGAAGCCCTACTTGGAGGGTCGGGGGACTAAGTAAGTAAGTAGTAAGTGGACTTGTAAGTACCCTAAAGGGGACCCTAATTGGGGTTATGGTACTTACAAGTCCCTAAAATAGCCAGTTACTAAGTCCCCCGACCCTCCAAGTAGAGCCAATGTAGTAACCGGATAGTGTACGTGGAGGTTCAGGGGTAGTTATAAGTAGGGTTATACGTAGGGTAACTATACTTATACCCCATATTCGGGAACTTATAACCCCACTTAGAACTACCCATGAACCTCCAAGTAACCCTTACAGAAACCCTAAACCCTCACAGAAACCCGATACTAGCCCTTTCAGACACCCTAAGCCGTGAGGCTCCGGAAGAGAGCGTCCGATACTTCCGCCTATGGCAGCGGGATGCAGAGACTTCGCTGAGCAGGGTTGGGTGCCCAGAGACTCCAGTATCCCTTACTTAAGGAGATACTTTAAACTATAGTAGGATCCTTATTTTAATTTTCCTTGAATAAGGGATCTTGGAGTCTCTGAGTGTAGGGTTTAGGGTTTAGCAGGGTCATGACTTCCGACGCCTGCCTCTCCCAAAAACCTTATTAAGCGCCTCAAGCCCTTTGCCCCTAAACCTTAAACCCCTAAATACCCTAAACCCGAAATATTGGGTCTCCGGAAGCCCTCGAATCACAAGCCCACAGCTTAGGAAATACACTGCTCTCCAGTTGATCGGACGTGGCTCAACCGGGAAGGCCAGCTGATCCGAGCAACCCCCTTGGCTTTAGGGTTTGCTATACTGGGAGGTTCAGTTATAAGTGGCTTTATAAGTCCCCTAAGAGGGGTTATAAGTATAGTTACCCTACATATAACCCTACCTATAACTACGCATGAACCTCCAAATAGGGGTTTAGGGTTTATAGGGCGTACTATTTCGGTGTGGCGGTGTAGCGGTTGAGGGACTTCTGCGCCCCAAGGACCTACTCGAGGCCCTCGATTGAACCTTCGAAGCTTTGAGCTTTGAGGCTTCAAGGTTGTCGACTTGGGGCTTCAAGATGGGTTTTTTTGGGTCCGTTTACAGTAGACGCCATAAAGTCGGAACATCATTATCCCCATACCTTTTAAGGTAAAGTAGAGGGAATCCCTGCGCCAATCATCCTAGATCCATGTTCCAATTTTCTGGGGTTCA